CCTAAATCCGCCCCTGCAGTAATGCAATTGAATCCTACGGCGTTCCTATCCTAAAATTCTAGTTTAAGAACAACGTAATTAATTTCACATCATTTAACGCCACCCTCCACGCCCTCTCTAGTAGTTAGGGGATTTCCCTGTTTCCGTTTACCGAGCGAGATCTTGCTAAGGTTAAGGAGGCTAAAGAGGTTGCCTAGTTTTTGATGTCCAGGTCCACGGTGCTTTTTGATTCAACTTCATCTTTTACTGTTTTTTTTAGTAAAATATCTTTTGATCCATCACCTAAACTTGCGCGCTGATTATTTTTGATTTGTTTGTTTTTACAGTTTGGCGACAAAGGGCCAAGCCTCTGACCTGTATAGTATTACCAGTAGCCTAAGTATTTGTCGTGCCTAGCTAGCCTAGCTGGCCGAGAGCCAGGGCCAGACCTGCTACTACTAGGGGCCTACGCTAGTAGGTAGGAGTCAGGCATAGCGTTCGCCGTATGCAACCCAGGCCTAGCCTAGCTGGATAGATATAGGTACGTTTCATGGCATAGTCGAAAGCTTTTATGGCAGCCTTAGGCCAGTAGCAGTAGCAGTTACATTAATTATTATATAAGATGATATTAGACCAACCAAAGGTATATGGCATGGGTACTACTAGGCCCAGGCCAATATAATAAATTTAATAGATAGTTGAGCCTTAACCAATTAGCCTATGCACATTTCAACTAATATCTTGAATTTTTATTTTGCCTTAGATCAGTATGTTCACTGGTATGAGGTTATCAACCTTAGAAACAAATAGTGAAAGTTCAGATGACAGAAAATCTTCTCAATTGGCTGACAAAAATAGAGAGAAAGAAAATAGCCATGATAAGAAGAGTGGTTTTTCTTTTATCAATGATTCATTTAGTGAACGATCTCCAAATGATAATGATACCAGCGATACCAGTGATAAAAGAGATGGTGGCCTTGAAGAAGAGGTTACAAAAACACTGAAGGATGACTATTTAGACCCATTTTACTCAAATCCGGGTGCTACTAAAACTGGAAACATATTTAGTTTGGATTTGGATGGTTTAGAATTCACAGTATCAGAGGATAATGGTGCTGAACATCAGCATCCTCCTGAAACTACCACAAGCTCTTTCAATTTTATTAAACATGTTCAGGATGATGTTGAGGAGGAGTCATTGATTGATAAAGAACACTTATGTGATGCCATCCAGAAGGAGGAGGCAGTTGATGATGAGGATGATGAATCAACCATGGAAGGGGATCATATTGGGTTAACAGAAAGAGTTGAAAGGTTGAAGTTGATTTCAAAATCAAAGTTAAAGAAAGAAAAGTGAGGATAAGTGCTAAAACTTTTATCAATTTCTCAATATTGAAATCACAAAATTTCTTGTATGTACTTTGTAATTAAGCCTATTGCAAATGGAGGGAACCATTCAATACGAGCGAGTGCCACTTTGATCGAATGATCAAGCGGATTCCATTTCCAGTGAAAAAGGATCTAGTTTTGCAAACATTAAGTTGTGTGATTTTCCTGTTTTTACCGACCATTAATTCTGATAGTTTTCGCTTACTTCAGATTCAAATTTGCTATAATTTAGCTATTTTTTATATCTTGTTTTTTGTTATAAATAATAGCCTTTTCTGCTGATAGATTGTTTATGCATTACACATATTGGCGTATCCAGGGGAACGGGGCATTCCCCCAGTCTCCCCCTGGCCATTGAAAATGTTCAAAGCAAAAAATCATGCTTAAAAATCACCTCATATCTCCTTATGCTGTGAGCTTGCACCCCCTCATTTAATCATCCATTGACAAATACAGCTGTAATTACAATGTAGTTGAAATTCAATTACAGACTTTACAGTTATATAATTAACTCTTTTTACTACAAAACCTCAGATTGAACACATTGAAAACTGTGAATGTGGTGCTTGTTAGTCACCATAGGGTGTTTGGATTTGTAATTCAAACTTGGAATAATTATTAAAAGTGACCTTTCAAAACCTTGGTTACACAGTGTATTTTGGCATTGAAACAAAAAAAATATCCCCAATTTACTGTATGTTTTGGTTAAATTCGCCCTTGTTATATTTCGCATTAAACGCATCCGCTTGAACTTGCATATAATCTGCTCGTACTAACATTCGCTCGAAGTAGCATCCGCTCATATTGACTGCCAATCTTGTATATCAGCTTGAGACTTTCACCAGTTTTCTTCCTAAATTAGAAGAATTAAGCAAAAAATACGGCAACAATGCTAAATTAAATGCATGGCTGTTGTGTTGTGTGCAAAAATAATAGTGTTCTAAACTATATGCTTTTTGCTTTCACTAGGAATATTCATAAAAACATGGATGAAATTATTAAAGCAAGTTTATCCAGTGTGGTGCAACTTGTTGATAAGCAGACTTTACTGCAGGATTTGGAACTGTCAGAAAAACAAGCATTGGATGATGAAAATTATGAAAAAGGTAGAAAAAATACCATATGTTAGCTGTTGACTTTAAAATCATAATTAGCTAGGTCCTGTCCGGACTATCAAATTTTATTTGACAAAAACATGTAAATGCCAAAATATGGTCATGATGACATCACATCATGACCATATATAGGCACATCATGACTATATATGGGCATGCAACAGTTTTTTTGGTAGTCTGGACAGAGTTTTACTTGCCAGGGGGAGGGGCCGAATCTGCCGTTGAGGGCGAAGATTTCCCCAATGAGTGCAAAATAGGTGTGGTCAAGTATCACTTGACGAAGCCCCTGAAAATTTTGACAATTTAGGGAGAGTCTACTAATATGTACAAACTACATATAATTTTTTTTATCCTCGACGAATTGTGGTTTTTCTCCCTGACGGGGCAGCTCTCCCTTTCAGGAGACCCTGCCCCCCCCCCCAGCCTCCTGGCTGGCGCCACCCCTGGTCTCTGTACAGCGTAGAATTGGTCAGATTGCATCCAAGAACCACCCACACAATGAGGTGGGTTTTGTTCAAACATGCGCAGAATAGTTTTTAGCAATGTCATTATGCATTATGTTCTACGTTGGAAGTTTCCTAATATCTAAATCAGGCCCCACTATGCACTATTAATGCTTAAATACAGATGATGATCTTTAATTGTAAATCTCAACAATTTTTGCCTTTCAGCTGAGGAACTGAATATCAGATTAGAGCAGATAAAGATTGAGATGAAAAACCAGTCTGTAATTCAACCTCATACTCATGTCAATTATGGTTGGTTGCTAAGCAACCTGGATGAGCTGACCAATGAGGAGTTGCTTCAACAAGAACATAATGTGGAGCTCGCGAAGAAACTGAAAGTAGAAGTTGAAGAGAAAAGGGAGGAAATCGCTGATAAGAAACGACATTGCGAGCAAGATACAGAACTGGAAATACAGAAGAGGAGGCAGAAACTAGCCACAGCAAAAGGGTGAGCTTGGACTGTGAGGGTGAGCTTAGGCTACGAGGGTGAGCTTAGGCTACGAGGGTGAGCCTGGCTGTGAGGGCATTTGAGATCAGATGTTAATGGAAAAATTTGATTGGTTATTTAAACACCTAGTATTAATATTTAATTACATTCCACTTTACAGGCATTTAAAACTAGACAAAGAAGACTTAACAAAATGTGAGAAACTTCTAGAAAATAGAATTGGAGAGGAAACTAAGGAATTCGAAAGTAAGAAATGTATACTGGAAGTCCAACAACAGTGTGTGCAGGTAAGGTGCCATTAGTTTTCTCTCTTAAGAAAATATAAAAATGTGTAAAAATATGGAATATATGTGAACACTGCCCTCAACAAAATGACATTTTTTAAATTTGGTATTTATTCAAATGAACACCCTTTGGGCGTTTATTGTTAACTATGTTTTTTGAGGGGGAATTTCTTCAAGAGAGGCATTATTCGAGGGAGGTGTATTTTTATTTGGTGTAAATACTAAAATAAACGCTCCTTAATTTTCACTGTAAATGTGGAACTACAACACATAATTACTACCAAAATTTGTTATTGCGTGATCATAAAGACTTATTGCTAGAAAAAAATGTAATTCTACGAGAGCAGAACGTGAATAGAATGTGTTGAGAATGATATTGCTTCCGTTAGTTTTGTTTAAAGTCATTTAGTGGGATTTTATTCGAGGGATGAGGGCGTTTATTCAAAGCAGGGCATTTATTCGAATAAATACATTAACCAATTATGATGTATTTGTATATTATGTTTATTTCATATTTTATTTTATTTCAATTCAATAAAAAAATCTTACAGGAGGAAATTGATGAATTATTGAAGAAATTAGCATCCCTAAGAAAACAGGAAGAAGAAATTAAAGAAAGTATTGAAGAACAGAATGACCTTATTGGTAAAGCTAGAGAAGGGTTTGCTGAAGAGATCCATCAATTAGAATGTGATGAAGAGGAGATTAAACAGAGAGAGAATGAGCTGCAAGTGATGGAGGACAATTTAAAATTTGATGAAGAAGACTTAAAGAATAAAACACAATCTTACGATGAAGAAGAAAGCCAGTAAACATCAATATCACTATTATCATTATCATCCTTATCCTCATCAACATCATCCTTATACCCGTTATCATCTATATCATCATCCTTTTCATCATCAACCTTATCCTCATCAACATCATCCTTATCCCCATCATCATCTATATCATCATCCTTTTCATCATCATCCTTATCCTCATCAACATCATCCTTATCCCCATCATCATCTATATCATCATCCTTTTCATCATCATCCTTATCCTCATCAACATCATCCTTATACCCATTATCATCTATATCATCATCCTTTTCATCATCATCCTTATCCTCATCAACATCATCCTTATCCCCATCATCATCATCTATATCATCATCCTTTTCATCATCATCCTTATCCTCATCAACATCATCCTTATACCCATCATCATCTATATCATCATCCTTATCCTCATCAACATCATCCTTATCCCCATTATCATCATCTATATCATCATCCTTTTCATCATCATCCTTATTATCATCATCATCATATGGTATTCATCGATATCATCATTGATATCATGATCATCATCATGATCATCATGATCATCATCATCATCATCTTCTGTAGGCATACCAAAAACCTTGAATAGAACTCTGGATGGGCTTCTTTTCGAGGCTACTTTTGCGAAGTAAAGAGCGGGGGCTTCTTTTCAAAATGAATGCTGTAAATTTTGGGAATTTTTACTATAAAACAATTAAAAATAGGGCCACGGTAACATGAATCGGTATCATAGAGTCTATTAACCGGCATTAAATCAGCTAAACTACTGTTCAATCCAAGCATGTTCTTAATTTATGCTGTTTCTTTGAAATTCATGTATAGTGTATATACAGGTACTGTACTATCTACAAAAGAAGCCTGTGCTATCCATGATGCCCGTGGGCTTCTTTTCAAGGCTACTGAAGTTGTTACTTTGCCTACCATAAATATTGTATTTGTGTCTACTGGGCTAAGAATTAACTATATGGACCCGCCCGCTTTTCACCACCACCCTTAATACACTGTACACAATAAAGTAACACATGATCTGATATAGTGTGATTCAGTCGTGATTTATTACGACAAAAGGCTAAGGGACCGTCGCACACGATCGGTCCCTAAATTAATTTCCGTAGTAAAAATTCTTAAAAAGTGGCCAACAAGCCAAGCGGCAGGGTGCCGTAGCACCCTATAGTGTAACAAGTTTTTCGGCTGATGTCGGAAAAATTTATTTTTAAATGTTGTTCTTTATTTTTAGATATGAAAGTCTGTTGCCCGTGATTCAAGATGTTATACAGTCAAATAAATCAAATGTTGAAGTGCTAAAGCAATCTAGTGGTCAAATAGTACCAGACCTTACCCCTACGACATTAGAGATTAACCCACCACAGTGCATCACCAGGTTAGTATTTACACCATAATTTTTTTGTCTAACTTTCAAGACAGAAGGGTTCTATATAGTGCCCAATATAATAGAAACTTTTGAATTGCTAACTTTGAATATTTAATTACCTTTCAATTGAAAAATTTATGTTATTTTTCTTCCAAATGAAAACATGTTCCTATAGCAGTGGGGGATCCAGGAATTTGAAATATAAGGGGCCCAGGGAAGGTCCAGAGGATGGGATCTATACCACCCCAGTCCCACGATGGTTAAAGAAAATGTATGATTGTGGCACATCTAGGTGCCGGAAAATGACACTCTGAGACTTAAATTTGAATATAATTTTCTTATTTTCTCTCCATTTTTACAATAATTTTGACAAATTTAAGGGGGCCTGGGTCGAGTAGCCCCCTTGAATTTCACCAATGTATGGTCTTTGCAAAACCCAAATGTAAAAGTAATGGTAAATGTATAGGAAAAACCAATATCTCACTATTTTTTTTTTTTCAGTTACTTCTGCTCACTTGTTCTGTGCATAGAGACTCTCATATTTTGCACAATATAAATGAATAACCTTTAACCTTTATTGTGCTGAATTTCATTTCAATTGAATTTATGAGAGATTTTTTCTTTTAGATTATACCACTGACTATAGACCAGTATCATTAATGTCCCAAAGAGACTAGCAAGTTTCATTCGACAAATCATGGGAAATGTCCAAATATGGTCATGATGACATCACATCATGACCATATATAGGCACACCATGACCATATATAGGCATACAACAGATTGTTTAAACATTTGATAGTTTGGACGGAGCTTAATATTTCAGGTTACAAGAGACAGCGTCTGAAGGCGTTGAGAAGATTAAGCGTGCCACGTCAGTGATGATTGCAATGCAGACTGAGGTTACATTACAAGCGAAAACACTGAGCAGCCTGCAGGGTCAAATAGAAGAGCTTCGGGTCGCCAAACAAGTTGCCGTGCAAGGTAAACGAATGAATTAAAACATATTTATGCTATTATTTCCATTGTTTTGTACGCAAACAATAGACCATTCCAGAGGGTCAATCTAACTTAACAATCGACCAATCAGAACAGAGCCAGGAATATGCGCATGTCTGACAAGCAACTTGAAATGGGTTGTCACACGAACGGTATGCATGTGTTTGCGTACCTTCGCAAGAATACCCAAGATGTGGGGCATTAACGGGAAGGTCCATTATGCTTATCCTTACTAAAAGATTGAAGTCAATTTAGCCTTTGATTCTGCACTGTCATTTAACATTTTGAGCTATTATATTCTTCAATAAATTTACAGGAAAGCAGTTTTCAGAGGCAAAGAAATTATCAATGGAACTAAAAACAATGTCTGAAGAAGTTGAGGCTGTAAAAAATCAACTTGAGGGCAGCAGAGAGAGTTTAGATAAACTGAAAAAGGAATTGTTAGAGATGAGAAAAGATCAGGAGGAATTAGAAACACAACTAAAAGATAAGGAGATGGAACAAGGTGCATTTTAGGACCATTCATATGATTTTTATATAATGAAGAATATACAGTACAGTACTTGACCGTTTGCTTAACATGTTGGCTGCCAGCGAAGAGTATACTCGTCCAAAAGGGTGTTTTTTTTAAGGTGCCCGGGACTAGTACTCGCCAAAATCGGGGTAACATTCTAGTATTTATTACTTCTTTGCTATATTGTAGAACCACAGACTCAGCAGCTGGTATTTCGGGGAAGATACACCTAGAAGATGACTTACATATGACGTATGTAATTTGTTTGTTGAGTTTTGTTGCTGGTAGTACACTCAAGTAGCACAAGTGGGGGCGCCATTTGAACATATACCAACCCATGCAAAAAGCGGACGAGATAACTCACTTGGCATAGTCAATAAAAAGTGCTATCACAGTGCCGTTGACGAGTTTACTTCTCCCCCAAAAATTTACCCATCAATTTCTTAGACACATCATTTTGATGATACATGACTAGATAAAATTTCAAAAAAGTATGTAAACTTGTTTTGGCACATGGGAAGGAACCTTAAAAAAGGTCTGGCAGTCAATGTGTTAAACAATCAATGAAGGTCTAATAAAAATAATGTGTATTTGTTTTGTAGCATACTGTAGCTGCCGCCCTTTCTAGTACTATTCAACTAGTGTATTTAGGTACAAAATAGACACACCTTCTTCCTTCAATGTATGATTTTTGTTTTCTTCCACCAGACACAAAACAATTAGAATCTGCACATGAAGTGTTCAACAAGATCAAACTCATATCACATGACAGGCACCAGCCAATGATAGAACGTATTCTGCAAGCAGAGATTCAAACGTGCAGTTTATGGATGAAATATTTATGTAGCCGACTAAATGTAGCGTTGGATGACGACGTAGCGGCTTATCTTGAGCAACACCCAGTGAGCCAAGATATCCTCAAGGTACAGCCACCATTGGTTATCATATAAAGCTCTGGTGGATTTTGATGCAGCTTACAAGAAGAAAAGCTCTGTCCAGATCAAATTTCCTTTGACAAAAACATGCCCACATATAGTCATGATGTGCCTATATATGGTCATGATGTGCCTATGATCGTGATGTGATGTCATGACCATATATAGGCATTTCTGGACAGGTTTTTAATGCAAATATAATATTATTATTTACTGCAGTGCATTTTTGGTAGCAATTTAGTCTATTATTATACATGTTTGGCCTTTGTATGTTTTATGATAATCTTAGAACAAAGAACATTCAGTCTAAGTGGCGGTGACAGCCTTTTCCCTACAGGTAATCTATCATTTCCCGACAGAGGGGCCGCACCCACCTCAGCCTCACAAGCTGCAGTCTTTTGCTTAGCAAATTATGCATATAAATTTTCTCCAAACGATTTTAACGCGATTCCTTGACAGCTGGACCAAGTTTCCCCGACCGGGGCCTGGTCCAAACGCTGGCACCGCCCTTGCTCTTGACGTAAGAATTTATTTATTGCAAATAAATTTTCCTGAATGATTTTAACATGATTTATTGACAGCTGGACCAAGTTTTCCCAACTAGGCCCTAGTCCAAACGCTAGCACCGCCCTTGCACTTGAATTTAAAATTTATTAATTGCAAAACCCCTATATATTCTGATCTGTCTTCAGGGCTATTTATGTTATTTTTGTTTTTAAGGGTGAACAGCAGAAAGAGTCTCAAGAAGCCAGGAAACTCATCGATTCCTTGGAGAAATCATTAGAAAGTGCAATAGAAGAGGAAAATTACGATGCTGCTGATATCCTTATTAAATAGTTTTTAAAGATGTGTAGTAATTTTTAAATTTCTTATGTATGTGCAATTCAACTGTTTTTAGTTGCGAATAAAGTATATTGTTGTACAGTATTGACCACATTGGCATTTACATCCGATAGACGAGAAGGGATATATGCTCATATTTGGGTGTAATATGACATCATGATGCCAATATATGGGCACACCACACAAATTTGTCAAATAAAATTTGATTGTGCGAACAAAGGTTTAGTTGGCCCTTGGGTATAGTAATAGGATGATCCTTAGAAGAGGGGGATGGGGTCCTTTTTTGTTTATAGGCCTATATAAATGTGTTCATCTATATAATTGTCTATATAATTGTTTTTATAAATTATCTGCTTTGTATTTCTTAATATATGATTACAGTCTATTCAACTTGAAATCGACACACTGAAGTCTGTCTTATGATACACCAGCAGCGCTATAATGTGGATATATGACTATTATGTACAAGACCTGAAGTCTGTGTTGTGTCATGCTAAGCTCGCTCTGTAATCAAATATACGGATGCACCATTGCTATGTGGCTAGTAAGGCTGTAGTTACCCATCCTATGATCATTGGTTCAGTTAGTATGTACTGTATGCTGGTCACACAACTGCTTTTGGACTGCAGTGACCTTTGCGTTGATCAAACTTTACAACTGGCCAATCAGAACTTGGCCAAGAATATGCATATTCCAGGAGGTCACATATTGTCACACAAACGCATGTGTTTACGTAAATTTACGCTGTTGCTTTTTGGTACCTTAGCAATAGTATCGAAGAAGTGGCCCTTAGCGGAAAGGTTCATTGTTTTCAATCAATCGTCTATAGAGCACAGGTGTGTCCATAGTGTATCCATAAGTATTGAAATCAAGGAGGGGGTGGGGCACAAATGTGAAGTTGAAGGGCTCAATTTAGTGAGGAGCACTAATTGTGTTTTAAACTAGCTTGTTCATTAAAATCCCGAGTCACTTTGTGAATCCATGCTCACCTTGGTGAAGCCCGTACTAGCACCTTTCCTCTGTCCACCACAAGGCTGTCCCTACCAGTGCACTGAGGTTTTCCCCTCCTTGTCTTGATTGATGTACAGTACTGGGTTGTTCGAAATGTGCATGAGCCTATTGCGTACGCTAGGTCTGCAAATTATTCCAGTGCCACCAACAGAACTATGAGCAAGCATGCCGCTTGAACCTGTACTGATACAGTATTATGACTGTAGGTTGTGATGCCCCTGCTTTAAAAAACTTGGCCAATAAAATCGTAAATAGACGTCAAACCCAAATGGCCTTTGTATCCTCGTCAAATCTGGTTTTTAATTGTACTTGTTTTGTCAGGTCAGTCTGAATAAAATCAAGTAACGAGTTGAAATATGGGTTAGATTGTATTTTATACATACATTTCAGGAAAACTACCACTTACAAAATTAATACATGAATAATCAGTGCGACACTGTGCCAATCACTGGATATTGCCTTTAAAAACCTTCCACAACTTGTTAATGTATCTATTGAATTAATTAGGGTAAATCACAAGCAGTAACAGAATTCAATTTAACCACTCATTAATATTTTTGAATTAAACAAAATGTTTAATCCCAGATTTATATAGTTATTATATTGTTAACATACCCACATAAGCTAATACTTATTACTTAAAGAAAATTTGAATAAAGGTTGAGTCACCCACAATTGCTTGACCGCACCTAAAGTTGTAAGATGACAGCACTATACAAAATAAAAGTTCTATTAGTGATGTTCAGCAGACAGTTTTAAAACTGTTTTCAGTTTCATATTTTTGTTTTATTTGTAACGATTGTCATATATTGTGATATACACTATGGGTGGTGGAGCTGAAGTGTGGTGGTTTAAATGCTGGCCCTAAAATCCTAGGATCCTGGGTTCAAATCCTGCAATGTTGATGGAGTGGAGCTGTAACTTGATATTTAAGATAACCATCTTTAACCACCAAGCTTTAGGCTCCTGGTTGGATTTTTTCTCAGGATTAAATAGAAACAACTTCACTCGCTAAGCTTCGTGAGACTGGTTTATATAACATTAATGTTTTAAATATTACCTGAATAAGGGCTGCAAGGGTCACCCTCAAACAATAAATTTTATGGTAATATAAAGTTTCTAGAGGCCATGTTAACTTGTGTTATGTAATCTAAACCAAAATTCCGACCTAGTTTCTAATGTCCTTATTCTTACACATTGATTTAGTTCACAAGGCCTTACGATACGAAAATTTGAATTCGGTGTGAATTAATGACTTGCCCAACATACGTTGACACAACATCGAGATTGAAGGTGCACTAGAGAAATATAAAATAGATGGAACACAATTTAACACTTCAAAAGAATTCGCTCAACATAAATCTGAGACAACCTTAGATATGAATATACTATTTATAATTTTACGGAACATCCAAAATATTTTATGTAATATAAATATAATAATAATTAATAATAATTCTGGATTTATATAGCGCCTCACGTTGACACAACATCGAGATTGAAGGTGCACTAGAGAATTATAAAATAGATGGAACACAATTTAACACTTCAAAAGAATTTTAACATAACAACCCTGATACATCCTCAAAGTAGCTGGTTTACACTTCAATTCATCCATTTAACAATAAAATTAATTATTTGTACTGTTTTTAATGAGTTGATGTATAAATATTGGTGGTATTGCACAGTATACCATCTTTAAAGAATCATACAATTTAGTTGATATAAAATTAAAATATAAGATGTTTTTGTTGCCTCATAATCATGAAAATTAGTGCATAAGTTAAAACACTATCATCTATTCGATATCCTTCAGTTTTACCCCATGAAAGTATAAGCTGCTTAGCTAGCTACTCATTCTACCAAATTATAGATAAGAATGAATGTTTAATATCAGAAGTGGTCATATAAATAGAAATGGGTGGCATGACCAAATTGAATTTTTTATTCAATTAGACAAAGGGCCGCACCCAAACTTCTACACTTCCAGAAAAAACTTTATACTGCTTTATGCGCAGTTTTAATATTACTTTTCACAGATGATCGTCGTTGTGCTTTAAAAACAATGTGTTTTCTAGCCAAAGATGGTAGATTGGCTGCAAATAGTTGTCACTAGCTGCAAAAAAAAAAATTCTGTTGCGCCACATGAGGCCCAATACCGCACTTTGACCATGTGTGGTTCTTACACCCTTCTACTCCTAGTATATATTGCCTAAAGAATATACACCTTAACATGACTTCTGGATGAAGTAACATTTTTCCACATAATCCCTGCAATTCATAAATCATATTAAGAAAACAGTTTCAATTTCAAAATCATATTTTGTTCATATTTCTACATTTTCTACTTGATTTATGCATAAAAAATACATATTTGCTTATGTAGTATTAAACTACATAATTTTGCACTGAAATTTGGAATTAAACTACATTTCATATTATTGTATCATTAATTTAATGCACCTTTTTTGATATACTCTAAGACTAATCAATTAGCCTCTGGAATTTGATTTTAATAGCTTGTCAAGTCGGCGTTCGTATCCTTATCGCGGGGTACATGAGGGGCTGGTAGCTTCAGGTTCTGAGGTTCTACACCCCAGATATCCCTTGCGTAGTCGGTGATTGTGCGATCACTGGAGAATTTTCCGGAAGCTGCGATGTTCTTGACGCACTTTCTGGTCCACTCAACTGGGTCCTGTCAAAAGATAAAATAAATTAAAATACAAAAAACACTCCAAAATTCAAATAAAACATTGAATAGTTCATGTAAATTATGTTTTTGCACATTACCATCAATTCTAACTCTCAAAACATATACAATCGAAGTTCAAAGTTCAATTTTTTTATGAAGAAGAAATATGAAGAGCTACTGACCTGGTAAAGTTTGCTGACCCTCTCCTGACACTTGACGTAATCATCAAAGTCAGCTAGGAGCATGAACCTGAAAGTTAATAAATTGCAAATAATTTTACTCCTATCATCACTATTAGATATTAGTGGTGGTGAATTGTTTGTACTATGGAACAGATCAATCGACTAATCAAGAATATGACCGCTAGTATCAGAGCCTATCCAGTTAGTAAGCCCAAAGCATTTTGCCATCAGTGTCACTTAATTAAGCAATCTGTTAACCAGGTATACAGCTTTAAGTATCACTTTAACAAATCAGTTAACCAATAGCCACTAAAATACCTAGTATTAGCCTATCAGTATTGGCCTATTAATCAGCCAAGTATACTGCCACCAGTTAGTTAACCAATCCATTAACCAGGTATAGAGGCTTAAGTACTACTAAACAATGTTAACCAGTATATGGCCACCAGGATCAGTTTACAAATCAGTTAATTGATACAGCAACCAGTATCAATTAACTACTAATGTTGTGAAATTCTCTACCTGTCATGATGCAGTAACACATTGACAATGTCTTTGAAAGCTTCCGGTTCATGTGCTGAGAAGTAACCATCTCTTATCTGGTCAATGGCCAACTTCAATTCTTCATTCTTATTGTAATAGTCTATTGACCGATATCTGTTAATGGAAAAATGCACTATTGTTTAATGGTAATGTAGTCGTTCCAAGGCGCTTAAAGTAAAAATAAGAAATAAAAGATTGATTTAAAATGAACTAAAAAGATGGGTTTTCAACCAACTCTTGAACACACCCACTGAGGGTGACTGACAGGTTGATTCGGGTAAGCTGTTCCATAGTTCAGGAGCTGCAACTGCAAAGGTTCACTCAGCGTATGTTTTAAGGCGACTGGAAGGGACGAACAAAACCGGTGTACTGGTAGTCAACCTAAGGGATCTAGTGCAGGTTGAAGATCTTAGTTTGATGAGACCAGAGATAGTTAATTATATATATTTTTATATTTTATTTTATTTACTTCCAGGTGCAAACAATAAAAACATAGAGCAACTCCAGAAAGGTGTAACAGGAAATATAAAATAGAGTAACACAAAACCAGGCCAGAGTATTGCTTTAAAGGCGAACTAAATCCCTGTCTTAAAAAAGCACTTAGAATGACATTTAAAGCTACAGAATAAACACATCAATTCTAAAAAAAGATATAAATAAATAAATAAAATAATAATAATAAATAAATAAATCATGGAAAAAATAATTACAAAATATTCTAATTAAGAATTAATATTAATAAATTAAATTAATATTTATACATCATACAATTATAATATCAAGTTATCAATATAATTTCACAAGAAAATATTGGAATTATAGTAGTTAGGCATAAAGTATATAACATTATTAGTATCTAAAATAAACAAGAAAAATACATATATACAAAAAGAAAGACTGAAATTTTATGAGATCATAACAAAATGTAATCCCCTTTATTACTTGACAAACATTGTACACACCCAGGACGTCTTTCTTCAACATCTTTGACAGTCATACCAAAGATGAAGATGTTGTCTGCTCCCATCTCCTCCCGCATCTCAACATTAGCTCCATCCAAGGTTCCAATTGTCAGAGCTCCATTAAGCTATCGAAAGAAATTGAAATTATCAGTCAGGAAAAGAGGCAATGAGCAGAGTTGGATCCAGAGCTGTCCAAAACACAAACCTAGGCGGTCCTGGGGCATGCCCCCGTAAAATTTATGTTTTTCAGACGACCGAAAATAACCTTTGAGGCATTTTGGTGATCAATTTTTTCTTTTTCTTTCTTTCTTTCTTTTTTTTTTTACTTTCCAAAAGGGCCCCCCCCCCTTCTAAATCTGCCCCTGAGGAGTAGATGTTGCACGGGACAGAGAAAGATGGTTGGAATATGTTTAAATGTGCTGGAAAAATCCATGAGGAATGAAACCATTTTTTACCATGAATTTCATGTTTCCTGTTCCAGAAGCCTCAGTACCTGCTAGTGATATTTGTTCTGAAAGATCTGCAGCTGGTATAACTGGAAGAAAAATATTTATTTCCAAATTACTTTAATACTTATTTAGTTTTGAGAAAAAGTATCTTTTTATTGCAACACTCTTGTCTTATTTTAATGTAAGGTACAGGTTTTCATTCATTGCCTTTTTTATTATAATGCATATGGAAATCCTATATAAATTAATTGTTAATCCATGTGGAATTATGTTTATCTGTAAATGTTATGTGACATTACATAACGATTTCCGTAGACGCTTCGCTTAAGTGAGTGAGTAGCCCTGTGTTGCTACGCAAGGATAATGAGTTCACATTATTAATTCTAGTTTTTATTATATGAATGAATTTTTGATAGAAATCCATGACAGTTATATTTATTTCAACAAATAACTTGTTAGTAAAGAATGTAAACTAACTTTATACGAGCACAATAAGAGTGTAAAGGATTGCTATTGTGCGGAGGCTCATTCCGTGGGTTACTGTAATAAGGATTAGCGCGTCTAATTAAGTTTGTGACACAACGAAGCTAGAAGCCAGAGTCAAGATGTGCAAAATTAGTTGTCAAGAAAGTAAAGTATTGTCCACCTTATGTAAGGCAAGGCATTACAGTAAATCTGGTACAGTACTGTATTAAGAAGACTCATGAAAGTTACGTCTTAGCGTGAAGCTAATGAAAGCTTGACGTATGCTGGCATCTAGTGCCCGGTCAAGTTGGGGGTTTGCAGTTATGCTTTGTTTGTCTTATGTTCTCATAATTCCTAGATCCTAGTTCCTATCCGAATAAATATAGCATTGAAATCAACATCATCTCTGGCTATTATTTCTCCTGTGCAAGATGTTACATTAAGAACAAGTATTCTTTCTATTGCAGTGGTTCTGACCCAAACAAACGACCTGGCAATTGAAGACAACCCATATCTCAGGATGTTAAAAAAACAAAGAAACCTGAAACCAGTCATCAACTGGTAAACAAAACTGAAGTATCTAACTTTTTTTACTTAGAATGCGCTCTCCATCTTATGGCAAATTTTGGGTCATGACCCATAGTTTGAGAACCACTGTTTAATTGCAATAGCAAATTTTGCACAGGTAAAAGTTCAAATACATTATCCTTAAAGACATAGTGACTTTTTTATCTTATTTTCCCTTTCCGTTAACAATACAAGGAAAACAGTAGAAAGAAATCTTATGAATCAGTGCACAAAGAAGTTTATTATCAATAACTAAATTAATTGGCAGATTATTGAAACTGTAAAAACATTTAAAAATTATATAATTTTTTCTTCACCTTTCTCTGCTAATGAGACTCGGTAATTCTCCAGGAAGATAATCTTCAACTTGTCTCCAATAATGGGGTCGTTGTTGACAACACGAGCGATGCAGTTGATGAGATAAATGATCTGCTTTGCCATGTGGTAGCCCGGGGCTGCTTTTCCCCCAATCATGATGGTCCGGGCAACAAAATTTCCACTGGGGTTGCTCTTAATACCTTGAATCAAAAAATGAACACAAAATGTTTATAGCATGGACCTATTAATAATTTATTAATAGGTCCATGGTTGTAGGTATTATAGACTTGAGATGTTTTAATTGCAGGTACTAAGTAGGACAGCATCTAATCAATGCTCTCTGCAAACTCCTGTACTTCAAGTGGCTAATAAAAATATTATTATGTGAAATCATCCTTCATATACTACTTCAGGGGTTAGGCTGGTTTCAATCTGAGGGGAAGGGATGGTAAAAAAAAAGCCCTGAGGGTGCAAAAATTGAGATTGTGGAACTAAATCCCAATTCCCACAAAAACTCCATGGTCAGTTTTAATATTTAAATCCACTTAGCATGGCTAATGAGGGTGTTGGGGGTGGGGTTGGGTTGTGTCTGCACCCTAGGCTACACCTATGCGCTTACAAAGTTTTTTGTCAAAAAGTTTTCACTGGGATGTCCCTGCCAAAGTCTACCTCCTTCACTTTGGATTTTCTTGGTCAAACTAACCATGGGTCTGGTAACCAGGAAGAATAACCAGGTTTATTTTTCCGGAACAAGAAACTCAATTAAATCTTTCTAAATGCATGCCAATACTGCACGCATTCCTGAACTGGTCACTGCGTGTGTCAATGATCAAACTGACTGTGATGTGCAGAACGCTGTTGTTTAGCTACAAAGATACTGCATATTAAAATCCACATGCTTCCAGGATGAAGAGTTTAAAACTAGCAGTAAGTTTAACTTACGATTGTAGAGGACAATCATGTGTAGAGCGTTCATAAGCTGTCGCTTGTATTCGTGAATTCTCTTCACTTGAACGTCAAACATTGAGTCTACGTTGATCTTCACGCCATTCTGTTTTCCTAGGTACTCCGCAAGTTTCATCTTATTTTCCTGAGGGAATAATCAGAAGATTGTTTATTATGCGCACACTGAACCACAAAGTAACTGGCACAGCAGCCGTGTGGGAAGCAATTTTCATTGGTCCGGCCAGATGCGACGATTTTTCTTAGCAGTTTTGATTGTTCAGTAAATTCTTGCTTTTTTAAAAGTGCAGACAAATATGATGAACTTAATATTAAAAACAGCAGTTTTAATATACATTAAATTTTTAATTGTTTTGTTTCGATTTTTTACTTATTTCAAAAGTCACATTCATATTCACATGTATAGTATGATTACAATAGAAAATCGAAAGTACTGTATGTCTTAAAAAATTGCATTTTAAGCAAAGCTTTTAACATGTAACACTTTTAAATAACAATATAATCAATTCTTAATAAAAAAAAAAAAACTTATCTAGGTAGAGGTAAAACTATCCCTCGTCAGACACCATCCTGGTATTTCTGAGTCAAGGTTTCGGGCCCGAATAAAGATTGATTGTACAAGTGAAATGTTTTACTAGAATTAATCTAAACTTCTAGTCATCTAAAGGTAAAACTATCCCCCGTTGGACACCATCCCGTATTTTTTAGTCTAGGTTTCGGGGCCGGAAGATTATAACGTGGTGAATCAAAGCATGATAAATAGGGCTAAGTTACTGATACTTAGCTACAGTCAAAAAGGGACCGCTAACATCCCCAGGAGAATGGCATGCAGGAAAAATCCAGGGTATAGTAAACTATATTCTAGACAGGTTCTAGCAGGTACTACTACATTTATACGAGGTTGACTGGTTTGTTTGTTGCTTGAAATCAGGTCATTTAATTTTGTAGAGGTTGCGCCGGAGAAAGTACAATTTGGCTTACAAACGATACTGAGCTGTAAATTATTGGTCCGGCCAAAACCCGACCAGCCAGACCACTTCCGACGCCCTTGCACTGTATATTAACAATTGTTATGTTAGTGATACTTAAAAGCTGGGAAATCACTACATCGTACAATGGTAGTACGGCAGTTGAATCTAACTCCGCTCTTTTGTGTAACTACGCAACGCTGTAAGCTAATTTTTGTTGGCAGTATACACGTATTGTCATTAAAAACGAAATGCTGTGCGCTGGTTGTGCCATTGCGTTGTCTATAGAATCACGACTGCCGACGGTCGTTGGTGAATGTCTGGATTATAGAACGTCATTCTGTCTTACTTGTTTCACTTTGCGAACATTTCTGCAAAATTCTTCATTATCAACATAGCTTTCAAGTTCTCGTAGACGGTAGAGATCTGTTGTCCATTCATCACCAATTTTCTACAATGAATAAAGATATACAATCATGTTATTTAGCATATTAAAGTTGGAAGTTTTCTATTCTACAACTTATCTTGATTCCATATGATAACCATTTTGTTGTTGCTTCCTCTTTCTTCCTGTACATCACATTAATTGACACCAAAAATAAATAATAATAAAAACTGTGATAAATCTGACCTCAGCAATGATGTCAGAGAGTCCAGGGTTACACAGTAGCAGCCATCGTCTTGGGGTGATGCCATTTGTCTTGTTCTGAAATTTTTCAGGAGTCAAATCATAAAAATCTTTGAACCTGTCGAAAGATTAAAACAGATGTTATTTATTTTTTAATACCAAGTGTGGTTTTCTAACAAAGCTCATTGCTTGAGGCCAATATAGCCAAGTCGCTTTACAAAAACTGAGGGGATGGAGAGATAATGGATCAAAATTATGGAATTCATTATCAGAAGAAGCAAAAAAAGCTAAATATTTAAAGAGTTTTAAAAATATTGTGTCAAACCTGACCAGTTTTTGAAACCGCAGATTTTATTATTTCAAATATGAAATTGTTTAAAAGTAGTATTTAGTTCCTAATTTTTACAGTTGGTATAGGTTTTAAATTTTTCCATTTTTGTTTTTTGATGCCCTATAACCAAGCTGGGAGAGCTAATTAGTTTTTGATCTTTGATCCTCATAACCAAGTGTCTATTAGGCTTTGGAGTGAAGAGCTATTATATTCCAAAACTTTGGTGCTTTATAGCCCTTTTGTCAGGCTTTTGGAGTGGAATTGTAATTTGTTATGAAAAATATCTTGTAATTTTTATCAGAATATGAACACAAGAAGACCTTGGGACTCAGATGTGAGCACCTCAGTCTCCAAACCACTGCTCTACTACGCAACTAATAATTGAAATGCAACAAAGCGTTCTTAAAATTAATCTGAATCATTGGAATCCATAGTCATGACTTCCCATATAATGCTGGACACTCACTGTGTCATGCGACAGTTGTACGACCGTCGGCCGACTACTCTAACTCAGGGCTCCTTGTGGCAGTCTGAATGAATTGTAATAAAAAGACGATCCGTTGCATGCGCATTCTCCCTAGAAATGGTGTCAGCAACGAAAACTGGGAGCAGTAATTGTCCTACTTAACACATTCCACCCTAATTTGCACCAATCCTATAGAGCTGGTTTGACTAGAATGTTGTATAAAAACAGTCATTCTTAACATACCGTAAAACCTCAAAGCCCAATGGGCTTAATCTCAAGAAGAAGCCTATCTTGAATTGAAGCCTAACTTTTCAGTTTGCAAAATTAGCCTCAAAAACAAGCCCATTTGGAAAAGAAGCACATGGCCTTCTTTTCGAGATAGCATAGGATTTTTTTTGAGATAGTACAGTACATACACTGTACATGGATTTCAAAGAAACAAAATAAATTAAAAACATGCTTGGTTTATACAGTAATTTAGGTGATTTAATACCGGTTAATACACTCCAAGATACAGATTAATGTTACAGTGGCCCTATTTGTTGTTTTATAGTACAAATTCCCAAAATTTACAGCATGTATTTTGAAAAGAAGCCCCTCTCTTTACTTTGCAAAAGTGGCCTCGAAAAGAAGCCCAGGGCTTCAATTAAAGGCTTTACAGTATTTGTTTAAAAAAATTTATTTATGGATGGTGAGCTTTTAGCTTCCCTCAGAAGGTCAGCGGATATATTTAGGGGCTCCTTTAATAAATAAAATTAATATATGACACTATAACGTAGGAAATTGATATTACTGAAGGAGAAAAGTCCCTTGTCACAGGACTTGAACTTAGGCCCCTGGGATTGGAAAGCAAGCATTTTAATGGTCTTACACTTCTGTCTTGATGATTCCAGAGTGGATTTCAGCAACGCCATTAATGGCGTGTGATCCAACGATGGATAGATGGGCCATGTTGATGCACTTTGTGGGAGATTCCTCAATGATCGACATTCGGCGAATTCGATCTGCATCACCTGCAAACACCTTGGATACATTCTGCAAATTTAGGAGAAAAAGAAATCTTTTACACTTCATATTATGGAAAATGTATGTCTTATATTTCATTTGTAAAACCTTAAAGATGTATAGTATTGTCCACTATAAATGACAATAAAATAAAATTTAATTTTGGAATTAATTTAACAGATATTCTTTTTGCCTTTTCCTTTTTAACATGGTTCCAAATTTAGTAAGTTTTTAGTAATGTATTTTTTTGATACAGTAGTTTTATATTTATTGTTTTTCTTTAACTCTTTAGTTTTGTTTTTAGTTCAACTTCTCTTTCATTTTGCTTGTCTTTTATTCTTGTGATCCACTAGTGATACCAGTGCTGCATCACTGAAGTGTAATCACATAAAAGACAGAAATAAATAAATTAATTAATTAATTAATAACATGAGCATACAAATTATTGAATTTAAAAAATGTGTACCCTGGTTTTTATTATCCAGACAATACTTTAAACATTTAAATTGTAAGGCAAGATTAAGGCCTGGCTTCCTTAAAATCGCTGTACACCATCGCTACAGTGATTTCAGTGCAATCGTTGAACTACGTGGCAGCCCCCGACGCAATCGGGAAGGCTCACCAATTGAACCAACCAATCAGTATCACCGAAAGCTGTCCGCGATAGCGTGTAGCGATTGTATGAAAACCGAGCTTAACAGTGAAAAGTTGTTCCTTTGTATAAATGTGTGGATAAAATACAATGATGAATAATATTATGGAAATTACTTCTAAGTGTCTTGAGTTGATCTCGTAGATAATCTGAAGATGCCTTGGCAGAACGTGCTCCATCATGTGGACAGGCCATCGCTCCAGCGCCTCCGGCAAGATTGTGTGGTTGGTGTAAGCACAGGACCTCACTGTCAGATCCCAGGCCTGTATGGTAAAGAAACACAAGCTATATAAGGAATTAACTCAAAATAACCATGACATTTAATAGTTTAAGTAGTAAAGTTATTACATTAATTAATTAAATAATAATAATACTCAAACATTTATAAGGCGCCAATTCCAAGAATGATCAAAGGCGTTATTAGCCCTGGTCACTGGATAACGTACAACTTCCTCTGCTCCCTGGGGAGTATCCCTAGTCGTTCGCTACTTCTTTAGCGCACGAAACTATGAACATTCAATGCCACAACATCCTACCAGGTGCCTATTTATACTCCTGGGTAGAGAGAGGCAAACGTAGATAAAGTGTCTTGCCCAAGGACACAAGCAACTGGCACAGCGAGACTTTCGAACCCCTGACCTCAAGGTTGGGAGTCCAAGCCACGATCGATGCACCAACCACTTCTACAATTAATTTAATTAATTGTGCAATTATTAGTGTAAAGTAATTAAACTAATTAATTAAATTATTTAATTTAATTGTGCAATTAGTGCTAAAGTAATTAAATTAATTAATTTAATTAATTGTGCAATTAGTGGTATAAGTGCGAATTTAGATTATTACTTATCATTTTCTATTATTAGGATTTATCCACACTATCAAATTTTATTAGACGAATTTGTGTGATATGCCCATATATGGACATGATGATGGCATACTCAAACAAATATGGGCATTTCAGATTTATTTGTCACATAAAATTTTAAAGTCAGCGGTTTAAGAAGTGATAAAAGAGTCTAACGCTACCTTTTCCCATGGAATTTCTTCAATATCTACAAATATTCGCATTAACTCCGGAATTGCCAAAGCTGGATGTGTATCATTCAGCTGAATAGCAACCTAAACAAAGCACAAAAAATGATGAGGTCATCATAAAAAACAGATAATGATGATGTCATCACAATACATCTGAGAAATGTTGTCACTAACATCAAGGGGTTCGGACGAACCCCCCTCTGTGAAGAAATGTAACTAAATACAAACTGGGTCCTGGCTTACAAAAGGCATGCTAACCTAATTAGGCATTCCTGATGATGACATAATTAATGTTGAAATATTGAATCCTGACACGATGGCGTGCATTTCAATACTTGGAGTATGTATTATACTATCTTATCTGAGATTAATCAGTGGACCTACTTAGGCATAGATTGGAAGATCAGACAAACTAGGCTTAGCCCAACTATTTTTCAATTAAATAAATTATACACACTGTTTTATTGTTCACCGTTGTAATAATTTATGTACGAAAGTGCGTTCTTCAGGCCTATCGGTTCATCGATCCATGGAAGAAACACTACATATCTAAATACTCAATGTTGTTAGAATATAATGATATATTGCCTGTCTTTGATTTTTTTTTCTCTATGTAAGGCCTAAGAATGAGATAAAATTACCTGACTTTTTTTTAAGAGGGGTAAAACCTTGAATTTTGAAGAACATTAAAACACTCCTCAGAAGTCGGGAAAGCTCATTTCCGGCCATCTAGGAATCAAAATTTTCCCGGGGGAGGACACCCGGACTCCGTTTCATTTTGTGGTTTTTTGGAAATTGAACCCCCCCTCTTTTAAATCCTGGATCCACCCCTGATGAGCGTCATATATAGCTGATACCGGCGCTATATAAATGTTCTAGTCTACTGTATTTTCATGATTATAATGTGATTAAAGATAAGGATGATACAATTTAAGATGATAATGTCATGTAATATACTGCAGTTAATGATGATAATGCGGATGACAATGGAATTAATGACGAATGATGATGGTAATGTAGATGATGATGATGATAATGTACAAAACATCCATTTTACCTTGTCGGGGAAGGTATCAAAACTTGTGCGGACAGGGTCACGACATCCGAAACGAGATGATTTGAATCTACGAATGATGTCTTGCAGAGTTGCGGCCACCATGAAGTACTCTTGCTTAAGTCTCAGTTCTTTGCCTTCGAAAAACTGAAAAATATTGGAAAAAATACAACACAAATTACTATTATGAATTAAAAAAGATTTGTATAAACAGTAATATTTTGCACAACAACAGCAATTAAGATACTATCAGAGACATTTGATGTAATTTTAAGTTGTTACTACAAACAATAATCATAATATTGATAATTCTTACATTGTCATTTGGATAGAGAACGCGAGATATGTTTTCCGCAATGTTGCGATCACATACAGCTTGGATGTAGTCTCCGTCATTGACTAGATAAACCAAGAAGAAACAGTGATTATATGGTAAAAGTTAGTTTTAACATAAGTCAACTTTTTTTACATTAAAGCCCCATTCCTGGCAAAATTTCACTAAAAAATAGTTTTTTTAGAAAAAATGCATACTCTAATTATTATAAACCATGGGAAAATATTTGCATAAATTTTAGTTTTACGAAAAAGAATTTAAAAAAATGAGAAATACAGACTATTTCTCATAGGAGATTACCAATTTCTCGACGAATTCTTCATTACTAAATTACTAAATACAAATTTGAAATAAATTCTATGAAATATTATATTTCACAAGTGTCAATACTAGCAACAGAAAATATCATGTCGGCCGTTTCTATGTGTGATAACAGAACCTAAATAGAGGTAAGGCTAGGCCTAGCCGAGAAATGTCGGATAGGCTAATGTTTCCGGCGCCTACTATATTTCTTCGCAGACCTATCGCAAAATCAAACATAAAAAATTCAACCACATTTATTTTTTGTGTGGAACACAAAAAAAAATCAAATTTCAGTCTTAATTTACATTTTTTTCATGTTTAGGAATGTCAAAATATAATTAAACTAGCAATTTCGTATTATATTTATAAATCTTTATAACATATATAAAGATCAGATTTTTCTTAACAACTGAAATTTTGCAGGGAATGGGGCTTTTAATCAAATACTCACAGAAACTAAGATTGAAACTGTTTGGAGACTTGGCAGACCAAAGCCGCATTGTGTTTACGGTGTTGTTATGGTAACCAGGAGTCGGACTGTCATAAGGCATCGCAAACACCACCTAGATGAATACAAAATTATAAAGTATATGTTAAGTTTCACATTATGTAATGTGATGATATGCTGAGCTTGCTAGGACACATTTAGTTGTACATGTGTCGAGTGGTCACTTTAACACAATTAGTATACTTGTTCTTCCATACACTAGGAAAGAATTAATGTACAAATGAACAGATGGTTTGAAGTGTAAGACAATGTTAGGCATACTAATTCAAAGTTCAAAGTTCAATTTTTTTTCCATACAACAAAACAAAATTGATACATATAAATGTAAATATAAATATGAATATAATTATATATATATATATATATATATATATATATTTGAGAAACCGGAGCCGTGTGGCATAGGAAAAACCACTTTTAAAAACTACTAATTTCATTTTTCTCATGGTATAAAGTTTGTTGCTTTGTGTCTTCTTGCCCCCTATTTCAATTCCCCCTCTCTGGCCACTAGGCGGTGTAATTAACCTGTCATTGCTCTACAAAGCGAGGATTTTTGCATGAAGTACAGTACCTTAGTGTCAACCCATTTTGACTTCCCATCCTTATGTTCGGTTTTCCCGTAGAAATTGATAGGAATCATGTACTCTGGACGAGCCTTTTCCCAAGGGTTGCCGTACCGCAGCCAATCGTCAGGCTCCTCAACCTACAGGAATCACGATATCAATTACATTGTACAATACATTACATAACATTAACGGCAGTCCTAACTCTGTTGTTCAGTATATTCTACCTTCACAGCATGCTTACGTTTACATGAGGTTACTAGCAGTACCTCAACCAATCACAGGGCAGAGAAATGTTTACATTTTGTATTAGGTAAAGAATTGACTACCTCTTAAATATAAAGTATGATGGTTCCAATAATAGTAATATTATAAAGTTAAAGAATAAATAAAAATTATAATAAATAATGTTGTTGTGGTGCTAGACAATGTGCTCCACATTATCCTCGTCACTGGATGACACACCTACTGGACACATATTCAATTCCATGGGAAGAATTCCATGATGATTATGGATATTGATTACATAATAGTTTGTTTTTGAATTTTTGCCTTTTTAAATCGGAAATTTTAATGTTTGTGCATATTAATTAATATCAAAATTTTTAAATAATTGTAACTAATTAAAATAATAATAATATTGACTATTTTAATTGATCTTAATAATGATAATGACTTTAATTGTAAATTTAATTCAGTTTTTCTATTTTGTAAATTAAATTCCCAATTCAGCCTCTGGCTGCTAAAGATTTGATATTGTAGTTGTTTTGTTTTGAATTTATGAATAAAGATACCAAGATATATATATGATTACAGAAATCAAATTTTTGAATAGCCAAAATTACTGTTGCCACTAATGCAGCCTCATGTATGTTTTTATATTTTTTTTTTACCATATAGCACCTTTCATAATCTGCAGATTTTTACAATTGATTATACAAGATGCTGGCATCATTATTTCCCTGGTCACAGGATACTGAATTGGCAGATCCGTACATTGTGCAACTATCTCTGCACCCTGGGGAGTATCCCTGGTCACTGCTGCTTGACCGCGCACAACCCACACATTCAATGCCATACCATCCTACCAGGTACCTATTTATTCTCCTGGGTGGAGAGAGGCAAACGTAAGAAAAGTACCTTGCCCAAGGACACAAGCAATGTGACAAGCGTCGGTCTCGACCTCCTGATCTGACATCAGAAGTCCAACTCCTTACACACTGTGCCACACACTCCTAGAAAACCTTAAAAACTTAGTTCAAGATCACACATGTTTTAGTGTGTTTACCTGTTGTCCATCCTTGATTTTCTGACTGAAGATTCCGTAATCGTAGCGGATGCCATAACCATAGGCAGCAAGACCGAGTGTAGCCATGGAGTCAAGAAAACACGCTAAGGCAAAATGGTTGAAAAATTAACTTCTAAATATGACAGTTTACAAAAAAAACTACACAATCTACTGTTCAATTTTCCTATGTAGCAGGATAACTTACACATTACTTGAAGTTCATTCTGTTTGAAATATTATATTAAATTGAAATAATGAATTGAAAACCATGGGTTATTTTATGTGTTTTATACAAACATTTTCTTTTTCGATGATCATTAAAGTTCAGTACCTGCCAATCTGCCGAGACCACCATTACCAAGGCCAGCATCCTCTTCTATCTCCTCTAGCTCCTCAATGTTGAGACCAAGCTGAGAAATGTTCAGATATCAATCAATCAATTAGTTAATCTAATAATTTTCAAATAAAATATCAATGAATGCTTAACTTATTATCAGTTGCGTTAGAATAAAAAAAAATCATAACAAATGGTGATGATGATAATGACTACTATGATGATAATGACTACTATGATGATAATGGTGATGATGGCAATAATAAGTTGATAAGAATGAAGACGATGACAGTCAATCTGATGATGAAACTAATGAGTCATAATGACAATGCTACTATTGATGATAAATGATGATGATAATGATGACAACATCAAAGACCATGATGACGACGATAGTGATGATGATGCTAATGATGATAATGGTGAGGATGGCAATGATGAAGATGATAAGTTGATATCAATGAAGAGGATGACAGTCATTCTGATGATGAAAATGATGAGTCATGATGATGATGCTACTACTGATGATAATGATGACGACGTCAAATACCATGATGATGATGATGATGCTAATGACGATAATGGTAATGATGGCAATGATGAAGATAAGTTGATATCAATGAAGAGGATGACAGTCATCATTGTGATGATGAAAATGATGAGTCATGATGATGACGCTACTACCGATGATAATGATGGCGACGTCAAAGACCATGATGACGACAATAGTGATGATGCTAATGATTACAATGGTGCTGATGGCAATGAAGATAAGATGATAACAATGAAAAGGTTGACAGTCATTCTGATGATGATGATAATGACTCATGATGATAATACTAGCGATTATGGTGATGTGAATGGAAATGATAACGATAATGATGATGCCAATCATAATGAAAACATTCACCAAATACCTGATACATTGCTTCATCACATTCGCTCTGTATACCAAGGTTAACCATAGTGTTGGTCAGGGTTCGTCCAATGTAGTACTCCAGTGACAAATAATAAATACGCTGAAAATTAAGAATAACATTTTGTCATTCATACAGAAATATAATGTACAATTTAATGTTATTAAGGATTTTTAAAAAATATAATTTTGCACTCATCCGTCTCCCCAGGGACCTGAGTATGTATTTTTATTTTTATTTATTTATTTTTTCACCTAAGATAACTCCAGTCATGACTACCGGTCATGTGTCTGAACACTACTTCTAGCCCCGTTAATAATATTTGTTACAAAAATTATTCAACAATTTATTAATTACCTGGTAACCTGGAAACTACATTAATGGATATTATTTCAAATATGTTTTTGTCAGCTTTTGTATTTTGATTTTCTTCAGTTTAAAATAACTATAAGAGTATAAGTATGTGATATATGAACATGGGTGATGACAGGCTATATTTCACCAATTGCTGGCTAATGAGCATAAATTTCACCTATGACCTACTGCACCATCAGAAACAATTTCAACTATGACCGGGTTTCCAAAGCATTCGCATATTCTATGGAGTTATAAAACCATAAACCTATAGTACTTGTTCCTCAGTAACTGCATAAACACACACAAACACACACACTCCCAATCTCCCTTCCCTCACATTTTATTCATGGAATTCTAAACACACCAAAAAACTTATCTAAACAGATCAGTTTGCAAAAAAAAAAAAGAATTATATTATCAATTCAGACAAATAATTTACATCCAAGACCATCCCTGAAAGAGTTTTTGTGGAGTACATAAATACAAACTAATCCTGGTAAACTGTACAAGATTGCTACGTGCCTAATCTCACAGACATAAGTTAACACACAGGTTAGCATTACGTTTCATTGCCTGCATGTATACATGAATTAAGATATGAAAAAAAAAACGACTGCGTATATGTTCAGTGCTGTGCATCCATAATTCATTCACTGTTTCATACAAATTCACAGCTAATGAAAAAATAATACACCATTATAATGGCAGTAGAAAGTAAACATTAAAATAGTAAAGAAAAAATATTCAATCCAATTACTTTTAATTTTGGAAATTAATGATTGATGAACATATTCTGCATACACCTAGGATTGAGAGCCTAGCATCTTAACCACCAAGCTACAGCTTAACTCCATCAACATTGCAGGATTTGAACCTAGGACCCTGGCATTGGAAGGCAAGCATCTTAACCACCAAGCAACAGCTCCACTCCATCAACATTGCTGGATTTGAACCCAGGACCCTGGGATTTGAAGGCAAGCATCTTAACCACCAAGCTACAGCTCCACTCCATTACCATTGCAGGATTTGAACCCAGGACCCTGGGATTGGAAGGCAAGCATCTTAACCACCAAGCTACAGCCCACTCCATCAACACTGCAAGATCTGAACCCAGGACCCTGGGTTTGGAAGGTAAGCACCCTAAATACTGAACTGCAACTCTACTTAAGGAAAGCACACATTACATAATTTGCATCAGAATGTACACATGCCCAGACATAGCCTCTTCATAGATTATTATTCATGTTGTGATCAATGCTCTGAAGTTGGATGTTACCTTGGGATCTTCTGCATCATAATGTTGAACTGTTCGAATCCACCTTCCAGCCAAACTATCAAACACTGCAAAGGCCAATGCTAAATAAAAATCGACCTGAGTACCGGTATTGCGATCTTTCATAAGCGAATAATGTAAATGACGGTTAAAAGAGCTCTTCACTACTGCGATATCTTCTTCCTCGGCAAAACGCTGCAGAGATATTTGCCGATGGAACCGGTCTTTTGACAAGAGTAGATCATTTTCATCCATGATGGCTGTACACTGTGGGATGCTGGATTTTTCTAGATGCTTTGTTTAGTGTTTTAAGAACGGAAACTAGGTTTACCTAGAGCACAAAAACTTCCTGAATATGACAGTGCACATACTAATACAATAACTCTTTTGGCATTGGATATTCTTCCTTGTATCAATGGTACTTGATGAATCAGCAAAAATTGCATAATCCTAAACACAACAAGAACTGTTTGGATCTTTTATTCTGAAATGTTTATTTTATTTAAATTCTCTATTGTTGCATCAAGAGTGAAACCAAAGATGTTTGTTACGTTACTGAAGAGGAGTTAATAATAAAAATAATAATAATAATATTAACATTATAATAATAATACGATGACACGGCTCTTCCAAAAGATGGTGGGCTTTTGCAATTGCCATAGCACTCCAACTAAAACACAATGAGAGCAACGCTGCAGAATGAATTAAACCAGGGACTAAGGTTTTATAAGGATCTTCACAGTTTAGTGCACACACAGTGGCTACCACCATTTTAACAAACTGAACTATCAACTCTAATATTACTGTAATAACATAATAATAATATAATAATAATAGATGGACTTATAAAAGCGCAAATAAACGAGGTCTTTATGCGCTCGGGACTAGATGTTGCACTTTTCAATAACTTTCTCCTCTCCCCGGGGGGTCACTTCATGTCCTCTGCAGCCAGTAAACCGGACACTTTCATCTGTCCTCGACAGGAACCGAGTGAACCATGGGTACACCTGAGTAACACCCTACTCATCTCGAAAGATGAACGGTACTGTGTTCTTTAAAGTGCACATGAGCATTTGTGTACACTGAGCCTACGGTTTATAGTCCTTATCCAAGAAGAATTGTTCCACCGCCAGACATAGGAGCGAGCCGGCCGCGAACCTGTGCCGATATTGTTGGCGATGACCACGGTTCCCCTGCCTTACTCGCTCAAATATTCTCGCACATACATTAAGATAATACTTGAATCACAATTTAGAATGGAGTACAGCAAAAGCAGGAAGCAAATTTCAAAGTGAATAACTAATAAACTCTTATCAGTCAGAAAGAAGAAATCAAAGGAATCAACACCACATTGGTTTGGTGAGTTTGGTGGGTAGGGGTGATTACCAATCTATTATAGTTAAAGCTGGACTAGGCCTACAGAAAGTTACAATTTTAGCACTACATATATTGCAAGACAGTACAATAGAACATGAATTATGCATTGACATCTGTTATTGCTACTAATTATAAATTTACTTGATGTATCGGTATGTCTGCCTGAAAATGTACAACTGTGAGATAAATTTAAATCTTCTAAAAATATTTCAATTAACATAATTAAATGTATTATTTCTGCATGAAAGTAAAGACATTATCAATTCAATATATATTTTGTAATTCTGTGTCAACCTACAATTTGATTAATTTAATAATATTATTTGATTTTGTGTGTTAAATATAAAATTATGTATTTAGTCATGGACATATTTTCAGAATTCACAGATTGATCGTTGACACCCCTAGTTTAAAAGGCCAGTACGGCAGCCATAGCTGCCCTACATGATCAGGTCATTGCAGGTCAATAAATGGTACACTAGTAGTAGCATAAATAACATTATCAGTGCAATGATTTTCTATTACATGAATAGTGGTTCAAGGATGAAAATCCAAGGACTAAGCAGTCAGACTAGGGGAGGGGGCATGCACGAGGGGAGGGGATTTGGAAGAGGGGGTTGGAAGATATCAAATGCAGACTGAGGTGTAGAGGCAAAGTCCTGGTGGGATTCCAGAAGGCTATCCCCCTGTACCTAGAAAAACTGGCAATATTGAGGGTCATATTAAACCGATCTACTGTACTTTATCCCCAAAGATATTGTCATAAAAGATACGTTTCCTTTTCTGGTCTGATAAGTTGTGGCTAATGAAGAAGGATGGGGTGTGTGAATGGAATGGGGGGGGGGATGATGGGCTTAGCTTTTCCAGTTGTAGGTACAATAATATTCTAATCATTTAATACTATACAATAAAAACCACTTAATAACCCTTACTTTTTAATACCCCTAATCAGTCTCATCACCTCAGGGCCCAGTTTCGTGAGTCTTTTTACGTCACATAACAACTACAGCATTTCTACAATTCTGTACCACAGCGCTCAGATAGACTACAAAATATTGTGCAAAACAGCAAAATAAACAGTCTGTTCGCCTCGGTGCTCATGAGCCGATAATCAGCATGTTCCAAAGTACTGAGCTGCACGCTGTAATGTAAGTGCTGCCAGCTATCCTAAGTAACGGGCCCATTGCATTTTAGATACTGAAGATAAAAATAAATAGTCTTATGACTTAACATCAGCAATTAATCAGGGACGTTTATAAATCTGGTAAAAATAAAAGGCTTTCGCCTAGGGACAAGGCATGAAATATGCTATGCCTAATAATATTAATAATTTCGCCTATAGCTAGCTAGGCCCCATAAGTCTCAGATTTCAAATTCCCAGATCTGCCACTGCAGAAACACAAGCGACAGTTAAACAGAGCCGATTTTTATATAAGACTATAGTTATATCACAGATAGTTGGATAAACTATCGAAGAATGTGATGATTTTGAGAAATTAGGTTTTGTTAAATTGAATTTTTCACTATTTAGGCCTTACTGGGATAAAAAAAAGTGCTTTTTTCGACATCATAGCCTTTAACACTCGAGGACAAAGTGACTCACACCTATTCTTTACTAGAATAAAAGGCTATTTATGGGGTTGTGTTTGAGATAGTGAAATTGAATTTAGGGTCAAGTCAGCTCCACCAATCACAGACCTGCCAACCCCTGGCCATGAAAATTTTTAGATTTTTTTTTTAAATTTAAAATTTACCAAAAAATCTGGAGGTTTCCAGAATTAACCAAAAGATGATGCAATTTACTAAAAAAAGACATGTCAAGACAACTCATAGTGGTATAAAATCAATGGTACAAAATTACTGCAAAACAACTTATTAAATTGCTGCTTGTCTACCGCAGCGAATACATTGAATAATAACGATCTAATCAATCATTTATGCATAAATCGGAGTATTTTGCAGAGGGAACCTGTAAAATCAGTGAAATCTGGTGAAGGTTACATTTGATTGGGAGAACTGGAGATTTGTTTAGATATCGGGTGACACACGACAGGATCAGGTGAGTTGGCAAGTCTGCAATCAACACCTCAAATTTACGTAAATCCATCGAAACATTATATATACACGACCTGTTTTGTTAGTTATAGGCTTATCCACCTAATTCAATCATAATAAAAAATATTTATCTCATGCCCAATTATATGTTGCATTTTCACACGCAAGAGGGCACAGTACTGTACTCCAATGGATTATTACAATGGACAATTCCTCACAAGCACTATTTGGCAGAGACACTCACGCAAAACATTATCTACAAAGAATGTAAAAGGTAACTATAACATCCTCAATGATTGCCACCTTAAACTTCCCATAACATTTAACTTTATGCCTCGCAACCTTTTCACACTCATTTAAAACCGTGCGGGAATATAATTCATGATTAGAAAAGCCAAAGCAGTCTAGTAGCTGATTAACCGAACAGGTCGACGTGACGAGTGGTAAGGTACGAACTTCGCTAACTACAGCCTTAACATCGGCGCTGGTTTGAGCCGCACCTTACACAAGGTTCAGATAAGGACTTTAAAAAAATGCCCAGAGTACACATCTGGTGTGTGCACTTAAAGAATCCAGCCCATGTGGAATGATGCGAACTACTATAAATTCAGCACGATGACGCTGCGAGTTATAGGTTATTCTCCTGCCTTTACCATTAACAAGATAGTATAATACATACTCCAAATTATTGAAATGCACGCCATCGTGTCGGGATTCAATATTTTGACATTAATTATGTCATCATCAGTTACAAAGTCCTGCTTGAAGTTTATTGGGAGTACACAGTTTGTAGGCTCTTGAAACTAAACTACAAATCCAAGAAATCTTATGGTTCCATGGGGCAAAGCTATCATAATGGATATATTGACCTGTATGTGTATGTGTATATTTTATATCGTAAAAATACACATACAGGTCAATATCCATTATGATAGCTTTACATAAAATAAACAAACCTTAGGGTCATTTTCATAGTAATGCTGCTGCGTGCGTATCCATCTTCCAACCAAGTGGTCACGGACCGTATGTGCAAGGGCCATGAAAAAATCCCGAGCGGTGGCCACATTCCGGTCCTTCACAAGCGAATAATGGAGATGACGGTTAAAAGTCTTCTTAAAGGTTACGACATCTTCAATTTGTGCTATGTGCCGCACACTTATCTCCTTTCGCTTCTGAATGTCTGTTTCATCTGCAGCAGACATATTTTTCAATGAAGTGCAAGTGTGGAGACAACCAACATAGACTCATCCCATTGTCGAATGATTAAATAAGTTCAAGCAATCTATATTTATGAACACTGGATTCAACACTGAGGGCAGTATTGCAGATAATAGAAACATCTGTTTTCAAATTCTATAAACTGTGCTATATTGCTGTACAAGAAATGCCATATTGATTACTGAAATTGGTTAAATTATATTATATAGTTATAAAAAATTTAGAAAGCTGTCTTAGTAAACTTTGTTATTTTTCACATCTAAATGTCAATTACTGCTATATTTAATAACTTTGTGATTTTAATCTAGACCTAAAAAAGTAAAATTGCCTTTGCATGAACAAAGGAAGTTGAAATAAATAAGTAAATGAAATTGTAAAATAATATGAGGAGAGGTACATTTCACTGGCCTTTAATGTTGTATGGTATGATATCTCGGAATCGGCCTCTATTTTTAAAAATGTGTCGACAGATTTCTAGGCCTCTATTTTAAAAAATGTGTCGACAGATTTCTAGGCCAAATTTTTGCACAGAGGATATATTCTCCGTGCAGAACTTTGATAGGCAAATTAAAATATTATTTTTGGTCTGACCGAAAACCTTGTTGTGCCGTCCAGCTACGGGGGTCCAAGCCTGTCCTAATAAGGGGGTATCTCCTTTCCCCTCTCCCCCCTGCCCGCCATCACTCATTGAGGGGAAGGACACAGTAGGCCTAGTCACTGGTGAAGGCTCAGGATTTTTATGCCCCCACAAGTCACTATGCAATGCAATGCTACCATTAAAAAAAAATAATACTATGTAAAAACCATGAAGGAAATGTAAGAATTCCAGGGGAAGGGGATATATGTTATTGAAGATTTTTTGGATCAGGTATTTGGGACTTCTCCTATTCCTATGGGATATTATTTCATTCAGATATTGAGCCTGAGCTCCGCTATATATTTACACCATGCTTCCACGAGGTCCATGCATGGATCGCACCATCCGATGTTTAGTAACTTCTCTACCACCACCTACAACCCTAAATGATTCAATCAAAGGAATAACGCATTAATTAATAATTTACTATCAATGAGCTCGTACGTACCTTCGGGTCCTTTTCATAGTAATGCTGCTGTGTTCTTATCCACCTTCCCACTAAATGGTCACGCACCGTATGTGCGAGGGCTATGAAAAAATCTCTGGAAGTGGCTACGTTCCGGTCCTTAACTAACGAGTAATGTAGATGCCGATTAAATGATTTCTTAAAAGTAGTGACATCTTCAACCTGTGCGATGCCACGAACACTTATCTGTTTTCTTCGTTCTTTATCTGTTTCGTCTAAGGATGCCATTCCTTGTCAACTTTCTTTTTTCTTTTCTTTTTCACTCGAGTCCAGGGCCCAGGCCGATCTTCCGGATAATCACTCGAATACCTCGATGAAGGTCAAGGGTGAACTCGCTGCAAACGACGTAAACATTAACGGTTAATAATATAAAGAGGGCGGCAGATAGATATTTTATGTTATCAGGCCAATGATCTCTACTAAATGCCTGCACTCATTGGCTGGTTTTCTTGAGACCGCTGCAACTACTCTAAGTTACTTTCCATTGCCAATAAATATTAACATCAAACAAAATCCTAGTTAGAAATTTTCATGTAAAAATTTGTTGTAATATTTTATACATATTTTATGTATGTATTCATTTAAGTGTTCCCATTGTTGCAAAGCATAATCGGACTTGATTGTGGAAAAAATATATTATAATTAGCACTATCATTATTTAAGGAATATTATTAATTATTTTTTAAAATATTAATTTATTATTTTATTATAATTGTTACGTTATTGTCTTTAGGAGCCACTTTATAAGTAAGGGATATAGTTATCGCTGTTGTGGCTGTTAATGTTGCTGTTGCCATAATTACTATATCATTTTTTTTTTTTTTTTTTTTTAGGCTGTTATTGCTATTATTATCGTTATTGCCCTTTTTTATTTCATTCTTACTGTTACTGTTCGTTACAGTAACCATTACTGTTGTTATAATTATTATAATTATCATTATTATCATTATTATTATCATCATCATCATCATCATCACCATCATCATCATTACCATCATCATCATCATCATCATCATCGTCATCATCATCATCATCACTACTACTACTACTACTTATTATTATTATTATTATTATTATTATTATTATTATTATTATTATTATATTATTATATACTACTTATTATTATTATTATTATTATTATTATTATTATTATTATTATTTTTATTATATTCATTATCATCATCATCATCATCATCATCATCATTAAAAATTCCTGAAGCACGTTATTGTTGATAAGATGATTTCATGAGGGCACAGTATTTTCTGTAATGAAAAGAAGAACCATCACCTCTGCGATATTATTCGTCCATTTATTTTTATCACTAGAAATAACAACAAAACATTGATCCAAATACTTAACAATTCTAGGGGAAAATGAAAACATTATATAAAATTTCCTTATCTGTACATTATTCATGGACATAAATATCTTTCTTATGAATACCAACCAATTTCCAAATATGAAACCAAAAAGTAAACATTATTATTTTACGAAAAAAGTGGCAATCCCTTACGGCTGTACAGGCCTACTTAACAGAAGGCCCACTGTTGGTCAATGTACAGCTTATATTATCATTTTACACAGAGCCATTATGTCCAATAACCTACGGCTTAAAATCCCATAAGAAGGAAGAGCTATGTAGTCTAAAATCAAAATATCTTGAAACTGAATTTGAAGCAAAAAAATATCGTTCTTTTTTCTTTATTATTTATATTTTATTACGATTTATCCATATTGCCAATGGAACAGGGACTTGACATTTTCGGCTGGATTATATTTTAAATCCCCACATATGAATACCCAAAACTGTTTGTTTTCAATGAAATATGTAATAATAATAATAATAATAATAATAATAATAGCAACATAAACAATGATATTAAGAACAATAACAATAATATAATAACGATAAAATTATTGATAATAATATAATAATAACAATTCTTGTATGGTAGGTATGAAAAAATAAGAGTTGATTTTGCCTTCTCTTTTAACAAAAAAATACAAATTTTAATCATGTTTGAAGATCACCAACGTGCTAATCAGAGTTCAAGATTTTTCTATATCCGTGTTTAATGCGTATTTCAAGCAAATACATTAGATTGTTTAGGCGACGCTGCAGTAATAATACCAGTACAAAATAAAGTAGGCTGAATATAATACCAATTGAAACTTCAGTGTAGGTAACTGTTTTAATCTAGTGTAGTAAGTGTCTCCATTTTAATATTTCCGTCTAGTTTACGCACCACTACGAACGCGTAATCATTATATATATCTCCGTTTTAATTAGTTCACTAAAAATATTAAAGACATAAATTAAGAGAATTTGGTGTATGAGTAACCGCCAGTAGATGACATAGGGTGACCATCAGGTTCGCTGTAGCCTTGCCTCTTTCTAACACGACGGAATACCATAACACCAAATACAACAGCAACGAGGCATACACAGCCTCCGACTAGAGACACGGCGACAATTACGGACGTGGATGAGGAGGAAGAGGAGTCGGTGTCTACGGCATTGGTGTTGACGGCGTTTGCTGACATTGATTCGCTGTTGGTATTCGTTGCAAAGAATTGTTGCTGGAAGAATGAGAAGCGAATTCATTTAAAATTTTGAAACCATACTATAATTATAACAAAATATAACCTATCAATTATAATTCATTTGAATTTATGAATTTATTTGTACAAAAATAAAGACTATAAGATTGCTTATTATGTTGGCATTGATTATTTATCATTTAATATATTTTTTTAAATCTTACTTCCGAGGGACAAGCAAGCTCCTGACCATCAAGAGAATTGTAGGAGACGAGACGGAGCGCAGATTGTAGGTTGGTTGCCTTGGCACTTGTACTCTGAAACTAAATTGAGAAAAAAAATATTGTAAGCAAGGGATATTGACAAGCGTAAGACAAGTGCAAATAAAAAAAAGGCGCAATTCTATCAGAGCAAGAATGTTAAACAGGTCTGTCAATAATATCCAAGTATACTAGACATAGTTTCTTTTAAGGAAATTTAATCTAGATTTATCGAACACATACCATGCTCTGCCACAAAGCCAATCCGTACATAGCTTGCCCCTTCTGACTAAGGTGAATGCAGTCGGCGGCCATCAAAGACATATCAACTGTCCCATCCTGCATTGAAAATCAAGAATAGTATAATAATTTTACAGCGCATAGGTTTTACCACTATAATCTTAATTATTATCATTGTCGTCGTCATCATACTTTTTCTAATCAGCATATTATCATCATCATGATCATCATCATCACAATCATGTCCTCATCATAATTGTCTTCATTATCAAAATCATCATTATCGTCACCGCTATTATCATCATCCTCATCATCGTTATATTCATCATCAATGTTAATCAATATCATCAGCATCGTGGTATTCATCATCAAAATCATCGTCATCTTTGTCGACGTTTGATCATCATCATTTTTGTTATCATCGTCTTTATCATCATAATTATTACTATAATTATCCTCATCCTCATCGTCGTCATCGTCGTCCTCCTCCTCTTCTTACTTATCGTCGTCTTCTCCTCATCATCCTACTTCATCACCATCATCAATCACATCACCACCACCATCATAATGATCATCATCAACATCATCATCATCAACATCATCATCATCATCATCATCAGCATCACCATCATCATCATAATCATCATCATCACCACCATCATTATCATCATCATTTACGTTGTCTCCTCCTTGAATTCAATCAGGAAAGGCGAGCTAAATTGTAGGCCTGATACTAACCTTATTCATGGGCATAGACGCTTTTTGAAGGAATGGTTGAAGAACAACAGCGAAATCATCCTTCTCGTACCTGCCTGTTGCAATCATGTCACTCAATAATCCCTATCAAAAAAGTCACGTGATTTTTGCTTTAATACGCCTTTACACATTTTTTTTTTTTAATTCACTTTCATTTCCTATAGACACGTTAACTGAACATCGGGTTGGTCTTTTTGGCCACAGTAGCAATGTTTATCTACACATTGTTTTCTAGTAAGTCTATGATTATGATTTTTTTAAATAGTTTCAAAACGCATTTAGAAGATACGTTTGGTAATATTTTGCTTGTAATTTAATCAGATTGCACTTTAACCGAAATCAGGTTTATTAAGACAGGCTTAACCTACTAAATAATATAAGGCGCCACTGGGAAAAATATTTAATAATAATGTTTATAAAAATAGTATAAATTCTCAATAAACAATTTGTTTTGACCTACCTGGTATTTAAGAGCAGCTTCGTTAACCTTATCTAATATAGCGCCACCAGCAGCAACACATGGACACGATTTCCTATTATTAAAAAAATGTTCTCGTCTTATGATATTCTCATGATGTACTTAAACTGTGGTAAAATTCATTCAAAATAGTTTAAAAAAAAGTGAAATAAATCACAATAAATTTGCAATACCGCAAAACGGACTTTATCTCTTTAGTATACATATAACATTTCTTACAGATTTCGTATATCCTGTCTTGTCGTTTAAAATACATTAATTGTGTGTGTGCATCGACTACTAGTGCTGNNNTTCATTAATAGTTAAGACACACACACATGACTACCGAACACTACCACAGTGATATAATCCTGACGCGTGTACTTACATATAAACGGTTGTGCAGACTGAATTCTGGCTAGCCATCGTACTAAGATCGTAGACGTTTGTAGGTGAAACAATGTTAACAAATGTTCGAGGCATCTGAAAGTTTTAAAAAATGAATAAAAAAGAAAAAATAATAAGGTTAAATAAGACAATGCATTGTGTGATTTTTAATTAATTATCCTTTTTCTGGTGAGCTCACATTCATTTGCCAATGTATGATTAAATGTAATTATCCTGATCTTTAAACATTGCAATTGGCTGATAGTAACCACGTCTCGTGAGCGTGAGCTCGACATTGAGCGCGTTGACAAGCCAAAGCACAGTTAATGTCAGCATATTGAAAAGAAACTTTAAAAAAGAATAAAATAAACAAACGTTACCTCATCCTTTAATAATTCAAGACCTTCATACATAGAGCTAATATAATTGGCGGGACTTGAATCTTCTTCATTCAGACAATAATGGCAGAGGTCATTGGTACCAATGAATATGGTCACTACCTTCCAGTCGTTCTCATAGTCAATGCTCGAATCTGCTTTCATCATATCAATCAATTCACCAACTTGACACGTTAGTTCACTTCATAATTTAAAAAGAAAAAATGTATATTATTGGGATAATAGAGAATTTACAGAAGATATGTTAGGCCTATTATTGGTGTATCTTCTAGTAGGCCAGCAAACAAACGAATTCCAATAAAACATTGGATTTTCAAATACAGACATTTGTATTCTTACATTAGTTCAGCTAGTTTTGTAATAACAAATATATAGAGTATGGATTTACTTATTCACAATACCAAATCATTGAATAGTTGATGAATTATGTTATTCAATAATTTTATATATACATAAACATAGGATGAATGTATACATATATACATAAACATAGGACAATGCATGCGTGCGAAATACCTAATAAAAAACATAGGTCTACATGATATAAAGAATTTCACTTAACAACAATAAAATACTTACTCAGTTGTTGCACCAGATTCGGCAACATTGAATCCTATTGATCCGGTTGTCGAGAATCCTTTCAGTGATGGGTTATATTTCTTCAGAATATCTATGATAAAAAAAAAACCGTCTTATATAATAGTCAGATGCAAACCTTTCTTCTTACCTTGATAAAGGCGGGGGAGGGGATGAGGAACAGCAACTTTAAACAAACTATATTTGAACCAATTGGAGTTTAGTATAGTTCACTACGTGATTGGTAACATTCACACTTTCATTATTACCGTAAGGCTGAAGCAGAGGCTTGTTCACTAAATACTCTGATTGAGTTTCTATAATGCTATCCATCGGCTCGAGGATATTTTAAATTAGGCTAACGCACAGTTAGGCCTACCAACAAACTTTATCTAGGAATATAGGCAGCCTAGATACATCATTTAGACTTAATAATAACTAAGTACTGTACTACTAATACTTTTTAGTAGCATACCGGTGTTTATAATATTATAAAAATCAACTTACTTGGTAGAGTGACCATACTTTCCAAACTTCCTTGACCACCAGCTCTATGGTTAGAATTAAATTATTAATTACAAAGAAGCTGAATCTTTTAATAGAGTAATACTAATATAAATAATAATAATGATGATGATTATAGTAATAATTATAGTAATACTATTAATATCAACAATAATTAAATGAAAATTTATGACATCCAGTCCGCTTTAAAACAATGTGCAAATGGCGTTTTTCTTTTAAAAATAATTCTAATTAATTGCAAAAACTCTGAATTTTAGTAGAGTAATAATAATATAAATAGGCCTAATAATATTGACGATGATTATAGTAATAATAATAATAATAATAATAATAATAATAATAATAATAATAATATTAATATATATGAAAATGTATGACATCCAGCCCGCTTTAAAACAATATGGCGTTTTTCCTTTAAAAATAATTCTAAATAAACTTGTCTTATTCGTAATACAGATACTGTAGGCCTATAATGCTGTCTTAATGGCAAATAATCCTTGCTTGGAAACAACATAGACGTTTGTTCAAAATGTGACAAATCACGTTAAAATAATATTGATTATTATTCGTCTTATAATCAATATTATTAACTACGGTTATACTCACGAAAAACTAAGTTCCCGATATTCGGTTAAGGTATCAGTGATACTATCAGAGCCAGCTCCATTTGCAGCCTATGAAGAGAAAACCTTGAGTTAACGACGCTTTAATACATTTTTACGCTAACTTGCATATAATTATTTTAATATAAGTCTAGTGGGATAGGTCAGACTAATTTAGAACTCTAAACTCTCTAAATGCAAAGAGAGCGAATATCACTCTAAAGGGAAAGGTAGATACGTAAACATGTAATATAAAATAGCGTACCTGTAGAACTAGAAAACAAAACAGTTAACACTGCAACTACACTGAAGTTTTTTTTTTTTTTTAGTTTTGTTACGTGAACACTTCTACCCGTAAGATTATTCTTCATAAGTCAAAAAAAAAAAATCTACAGGCAGTCATGTTAAACGATACAAAATTGTCTTATATTGAGTGTGTCTGTAAACCGTAGGCCTATAAACACATAAAGTTCCATCTAAAACTTACGGTCATGGAATCGCCAATGGCGGCTACTACTTTGATATCGGCTGCTGTTAGCTGATGTACTGTAGAGAAGAAATTAAAAAAATAAAAACAAACAAAACAGTTTAATAAGTAAAGTCTACCGTGTGGCCTAAATCTAAAATAATACAGTGTATAATGTTTAGAGGGTCGTACTCCTTGACGAAAAATTAGAAAATGGTTAATGAGTTACAGATTTGTGAACATTTAAAAACTGTGAAAAAAAAGGGGGTAACCACCTTTTCTCCCAGTTTTTAAATGCTCATAAATGTGTATCTCCTTAACCGTTCCCGAGTTTTTCGTCAAATATGCTTTTTGTGTCTTAAACAATTAATTGTAAAACATATCAAATATTGTTTTTCCTCCGGAGCCTGACTTTAAGGTTGCACTTTCATTAGGTATTCGTCTATGCCATTAAAATGGAAATATCCTGATTTCTTGATTGGCTGTGATGCTTGCACGTAGTCACGCTCGCAGACATTTCTACACAATGTGACGTCAGCTCACGTTATAGCACCCTTTAGCGCTCATTGAAAGACACTTAAAGGTGAAAAATAATTATTTACCTGAGGTAAGTGTTTCTTGACTTGAAAATACTTTACAATCGAAGCTAATCCCAGTTGTCTCGGTCTAGAATAGAATGTTTATGTTTAACTACAATGTTTAATATTTGTAGGTCATATCGTTTTGTGGTAATTGTGACAAATAAATAAATAAATTATGCATTAAACTGAAAAACAGAATACACAACATTACATTAAGCCCTTTTTTATTATGATAATTAATATATTATTGAGGGTACAGTATTACGTAATAGCTTAAACCGGGGCCAATAATACGTTGATGATTCTAATTGTGTTAGATTGGTTCACTCCCCTTGGTTCACTTCATCAGGGGCGGATTTAGGGGAGGGGGAAACCCGCCCCGGTCCTCTTTTTGGAAAGTAAAAGAAAAAAATGAAGGTAAAAAGAAAGAAAGAAAAAGAAAAAAACGCCTCATGTTATTTTTGGGCGTCTAGAAAACAAAAAGTTCGCGGGGGGGGGGATGCCCCGGACCCCCTAAGGTAATGTTATCTCGATCGGCCCCACTTTCGGGCATCTCTGGAATAGCCCCCTGCTTCATAGTGTAAACAAATTAGCCCTTATAATATCTGATATGGCTAACAATTATCGAAAAGCATTGTGACAAAAATTTAGCGCTAGCCAATCATAAAATTTGCAGATTCAAGGTTAAATAAACCTGTCATATATTTATATACGGTATCTAATTAATATTCAACAGTATTGGACTGGCCTAAGTACATTATAATTGCCGGTAATAAAGGTAATTTTGATTTTAGACTACGAGTTATCTACTGTAGTTTATAAGAATTATGTAGTTTATAAGAATTATGAAATTTATAAAGATTGGACCCATGACACTGGGTTTTCAAGCCAGGCACTTTACCCATATTTTAGTCATATTCTGCAAATAATGCACTTATTATCATAATGTTTATTGTATGTACCACGTATTTACATAGTTGACGATTTGCTAAAGTAATAAGCTGAAAGAGCACGCAGTAAGCTTCATCAAATATGCAGGGTATTGTTCTTTCCAAAATTGTTGATGGTAGGCCGTGCATTATTCCGGTTGCTTTCCTCACTCATTTTGCGGAAGTTACGTTATTGTAATTTTTGTCATGTAATTCTGTCTTGATTACATTTAAAATTAGCCACAAATGTTCAATGAACTAATAAACCATATTTCACTTCCAACTTACAGTGCCCAGTCTCCCCGCCCTCCCCCACCACCCACTATCAAAGGTGTGAGATTACGTAATACCATTTGGAATCGGAAATGTTCGGATTTTTATACAAAAATAAAATGTTTGGTGGCAAAACTCACCGTTTTAGTATTTACAACATCGTCACAGTCCTCTGAATTCACGTATTCTGCTAACCGATTAATCATATTTTTATCTTTGTCTAAGGTGTAAGAAAACAATGACACAATATGATAAATAACTAAAAATATAGCGAACAATATATATATATATATATATATATATATATATATATATATATATATTATATGACTTTTTGAATTTATAGCATATTAAGCCAGTGTTGAGATGTACATTCAGTTTGTTACTTGAATATTTTGTCAGGATCATAATCGTTAAGCTTTGTACGCCTATGGCAACACCCTTCTTGGTTTAAGAAAGACCCTACGCATGCCATGAGCAATGCACAAGGTAATGCCAGAAGCCGTCGGAAAATCTTAAAATCGCATAAAAACACTGAATTGCTTATTTAAAAAATATCAAATAAGCTATCCTCCAAAGAGACTATTTATCAAAATCAAACAAGGAATTTTATCTGATAAAATCATAGGCCTACGGATAAAATCCTTGAAATTCAATAGATTACAAATCAATGTAAGGTCTACACTAGAAATGGTATCAGCATTATGCTTCCGTTTCTGCTAGAAAAATATATTCTCATTAAAATTAGCGACGGCTAACAACTTTCGTATTAAAAGTTATAAAATTCATATACTGAATGTTTAATTTTTAAGATTAACAGCTCAACATTCGGCCTAAGTAACTACTAGTTACACTGTCCGATTTAATACTATTTCGTTTAACTATACTTAGTACAGCATACTACATAAGAGGCAAGGGTATGGTTAAAACTTACCGTTAAGTGTTATACATTGCACTTTTATCAGTAGTAGGGAAAAAAGTATAAACCGCAGTGTAGCCATCGCTGAACTTTGATAATAATTACGATGATCCTAGATACAATCTGCTATATTTATGAAGATGTTCTTCTGGAAGCTTGCTTTTTACTCCGGTATTGTCGGACGAATAAACCCGTATAATTGACTGTTGAAGGTGACGTTGACTCGTGACAAGACAACGAATAAACCAATGCTAGAGTTCAGAAATATGCTGGTATATTTGGCGCGCTAACGAAAGCTCTTCTGTTGTAGGCCAATATTGGCAGACCTGCCATCCTTTTTAAAACATTATTTTGCGCGTAGTTTTGTTGATAGTCCCAGCTGGGTAATAAACAGTGGCGGCATCGGGATCACTATGGTCTAGGACATTTTTTATTTGTTATTTTAAGCCTCCGGCCCCTTTACATAACAAAGTACGGTAACATTCAGAGAATGGAAGAAAGTAAATCACGTCTTCTTATATAAGCTAAATACAGATATTTCCATAAATTATATAAAACATTACGATTATTTGATGGCATTAAACGAACTTAAAACGTGTTGGATTTATATAAAAGAAAGAGGGAATTACTATTTTGCTAATATCATAAACAAAATTAAAATAAAATTTAATTCATCTTCTATGCATTGATTTGAGTATAATTTATATATTGTTTTTACAATAGAATATGACCTTAATCAATCTGCCTCTCTATTTCTAAATCTAAAATACCAATTCGATTTTTTTGTTAAAATAGGTCTATAATCAAATCTATCGGTAAATAATAAATAATTTTCAAATTCAAACTCATTTTTAATGGGATTAAAATGATTCAATCTCAATTACGTTTTGACTTTTTCATTGATATGTTGTCTTTCTATATCAATATAAGTCTTAATTTTAGCTCAGAAATAAAAGAAACAGAATCATCTACCTGTTGTGAAAACCAGACAAACAAAACCAATTGAACATAAAATTTGCTTAACATAATATAACCATCATAATTTTTTCGTTCGACTTTTTTTAAATTGAAAAAGATAACACTCATAAATAACACGATCATGGTCTGTTTGAATTAAGCGTAACCAATAGAGAGAATCTTCCCATCTGGTGCATTTTTGCTTATACCTAATAACACATACTTACAAAATCTATTCTGAATTTTATCAATATGCATATAATTTGTCATGCCCCATACTTCACTCGAGGAAGGGCTAAAAGCTGCCCGACAGGGGTATGAGCATTTCCGAAGGAGACAAGCGAGGTCGAGGCTCAGGGGCTACATATTTTATTATTAGGTGACATTATATTTTTTTAAAAACAATCTTACGCATGGTATAAAAATAGTAGGTCCATTAATTAAAGATTTAATATATACAATACGGTAATTGCAAATAATGTTATCAGGGTTCAGGGGCTACATATTTTATTATCAGGTGACATATTCCATAATTTACAAAACTAAACATATGGTATGATAGTATTAATGGAGGATTTAATATGTACAATACGGTAATTGCGAATAACGTTGTCTTTGGCACATGCAGGCAGCCTTTATTTGGTACCAAATATTTCCTACTAGAAATTGGCAAATACTTTATTATTATAATTTCAATCATTTTATTTATTTTATTGTATTTAGAATTAACAATAACAAAGACCTGGGTCACATACTTATCTTGACAAGCAGGGGGCAGGCATTCAAAATAACAAAGAAAACAAAATTAAAGACAAAATGTTAATTGAATAATGAAATTGTATGTGGCACTCTGGGTGCCATTGAAAACGATCTATCGCATTCGCCATTAAATTGACCAGATTGTGTTAGGAATAAAATGTAAGAAGTATAACAATTTGTTTTCTGACTCATTTATAATACTTATTAGTCATCATCATCATCAGCAAACAAGCTGAAATCATACATCTTAATCTGTTTCTCTTTCTTGAAGTCTACAATAGTGAGATGTATAATAACAGCCGCCACTAATGCGATCATGAATATGAACACAGTGATAAATATCACGGCATAGTAAGGATGCGCATGCAATTTGTCACGTGACTTCTCCATCTTCGTGGAATACTTAACCGCCTCTTCAAGATCAACCTCAAGGTATACTGGCTCTGAATTCAGGTTGGTGTAAAAATAGGTTCCCTACAAGCA